TCGAACTTATTTGAAAGGTCAATAAAACGTTTTCCAAAAGAAATTTACTATTTTTCAGTCAACTAAAACTAACGATAGTTGAATTTTTCGACTAATTTTTTTCAATGTATGCACCAGCAGTTATTTTAAAATTACAAAAAAATCAGTAAAAAATATACTCAATAAAAAAACTAGTAGATTTGACTGCTTTTTAACTACCCTACATAGTTCAATAGGTCCTTAACTGAATTTAAAAAATTGTATGGACTATTAAAAAGTAGTTAAAAGAACTTGGGTCAAGGAGATTTTGTTCTAATTTTTGAAGTTGATTTAACTACTTTTGTTAAGTACAATTAACTACTAATTCTTAACTCCATAAAAAATAGTTAAATTGACTACACGCACATAGTTAAAATAACAAAAAAAGTAGTTACTTTTACTACTTTCAAGTCAGTTAACTAAAGGTAGTTGAGGATTTCGGCTAAATTTTTTTCAGTGTACAGTTGTGAAATTTTAATAAAAATTTTTGTGCAATTCCAACAAAAATTTTGTACAATTCTGTATAGAGATTATGTGTGTAATTCTTATAAAAAATTCGCAAAATTACAAAAGAACTTCTTTCAAAAATTTTGCGGAAATGTTTGCGAAATTCCGTATATAATTTTTACGGAATTCCGTCTGGAATTTCCGTGGAGTAGTTTCCGTAGAATCGTTTCACCTAATTTGGATAAATTTGTTACATTTAGCTTTAATTTGATACTTTAATTAAATAATTTTTTTTTTAAGTTTTACAATAGTTTGCAATAATATTAATATTTTTCAATACTATCGTTTTCAAGCATAGTAAACAAATAAATAATAATCAATAAAAATAAAACGTATATGACTGTTTCCGGAAATTCATTTTTCGTTCTCCTCAAACTTGCAGATAAATCAATATTTGCAATACAATGGTATATGTACATACATATGAAAGTAGTAAGTTTTTTTTTTTTTTTGCAAATGTATGCAGTATAATAAAATTCGTAATGCTTCGACTGCCACCGTTACAGCACTTATCGTTTGAATTTGCATATGTATAGAAAAAGCAGTTAGAAATACATAAAAATGACTTCAACTTTAAGTTAGTGTGACTAATCACATTTAAAAGTTGGCATTCTTTGGAGTAAATATTTCCTGGTATATTTTAAAAAATGTATCTGATAAACAGTTATATATGTATTACATATATATTTAATATTTAAAAATTGTAGATGTATAGTAAAAAAAAAATATGTATTCTTATAAATAACTATTTTCTCTCCAAATAAATAAATAAAAAATACCTATACACATAATATGTATATATATATATATTATACATGTCAGAAAAACAAAATTAGTTTTTAAAGTTGAACAGGAAATAACATTCTAAATTACTGTATTTTGTAACTTGTTTAGAGTGCTTACAACTGTAATTACGAGTAAACTGTCAATTCCAATTTCTGTTTCCTGCGCAACAATAGTAATTTCATTTTTCAATAGAACAATCATATTCAATTTTCGAAAAAATTTCTACTTTTACAATATATTTTTAGATGTGAAATAAAAGTTAAATAGTAGTTTTTTATTTATAAATATATATATTTATTTAATTCATAGTAAACATTTTTTTTAGTAAAGAAAAATTTTGGTTTAGAAGAACTGATTTTTTTTAGATATTTAATGAAAATTAGGTGTCTGACCAAAAATAAATTTTACTACTGAAATTAAAATTTTTTTTTGTCTAGAACAAAGTTCATTTTTGCTGAGCAAAAATTATTTATTCTACTTTAAAGTTTTGAAAAAAAATTCTTTTTTTGCTTAAAAATTAATTACGGTTGACTAAAACGTAATTACTCAACTTAAAAAAATTTTTGCTGACTAAAAATCACTTGTTTTACTTTAAAACATTATTATACTGAAAAAAATACTTTTTTTCTTGCTTAAAAATGAGTTAAGGCTGACCAAAAAGTGATTATTCTACTTAAATAATTATTGCTCTATACACTGTAAAAAAGGAGTTGAATTTCAACTCCCTAGGGGATGCTATAAAAGTCCCACCCTTTTGGAGTTGAAGCGAAGGGAGTTAATGCTTTGCGAGTTAATTTTATGCCTAGGGAGTTAGTTTTAAGGAGTTAATTTAATTATCAACTCCCTTTTTGAGTTGATTTTTAACTCGAAAAATTCAACTTCCAACTCTCAGTGCTGTTAACTTCCTAATTTTTTTTATGTGTATTTGAAAAAATGTTATCATATTAGAACAAATTTATCTACTTCAAAATTTATGTTGTCTGACTAAAAATCACTTTTTCTACTTTAAAAAATTATTATACTTAGAAAAAATAGTTTATTTGATTAAAAATAAATTTTGGCTGACCAAAAAGTGACTACTTAAAAAAATTATTTGTCTGTCCAAACAAAATTTGCACTACTTCAATAATCGTAAACTTTGATTATTAGAATATTAATAATTACAATTGTTATTTATTATTTTTATTCTTTTTTTCAATTTTATTTGCTTTTATTATCCACAAATATTAATGCTATAAATATTTATATTACAATATGATATTATTATAAAATAGTATTATAAAATGGAAGTGAAGATATAAAAATAGCAATTTGTATACGGCCTGAGGGAAGATATTTAAAAGTTTACTTCCGAGTGAGCTTCTAAAGAGCATAATAGAAATTTCTTGAGTGATATGATTAGTTGTGTAACAACATTGTGTAGTGAACATGTATATATATATATACAATATATATATATAAGTTGCATCGATAACGCAACAACCTCAGTTTATAACTTCGATGAAATGAACTAATACTTGTGAAACAAACCCTGAAGTGTTTTACGTGAGTGTACACAAGGGTCTGACGGAAACTTTTGGTTTGTTTGACGTATGCGCATTGAAGGATTAAACTATTTAGACTTTAGGCGTGTCATGAAACAAGCATAAACTTCGTGCTTGAACCCTAAACTTTGAATCCAGCTTCTCATACTATTTTAATAATTTGATTCTCGAGACTAGTTTACCCTCATCTTCTACTGATTCAACATATATACAATAATAAATCAAAATTTACACTTTACACATTTTGCTATTCAAAAAAATTGGGTTTTTAATCAAAAAACACAATTTAAAATTATTTTTATTATTATTTTTACAATTGTTATTGTTATCATTTTTTCTATTTTTACTATTGTTGTTATTATTGTTACTATTGTCATTATTACTGTTATAATTGTTATTATTATTGTTATAATTCTTATTTATCATTGTTACTTTTGTTATTATTGTTATAATTGTTATTGTTATTGTTACTAATTACTATGTTAATTATTAATATTATTTTTACTATTTTTAGTATTTTCACTATTGTTATTTTTATTATTTTTTTGTTGTTGTAATTGTTATTGTTATTATTAATATTGTTACATTTGTTATTATCATTGTTGTAATTGTTATTGTTATTATTAATATTATTATTATTATTATTGTTACTATTATTGTTATAATTATTATTGTTACTATGCTTCTTATTGTTATTATTTTTACTATTTTTAGTATTTTTTTTATTGTTGTTGATATTGTTATTGTTATTGTTATTATTAATATTGTTACATTTGTTATAATTATTGTTATAATTGTTATTGTTACTGTTTTTACTATTGTTGTTATTATTATTGTTATAATTGTTATTATTTATTGTTACTATTGTTGTTATTATTATTGTTACTTTTGTTATTGTTATTGTTATAATTCTTATTTATCATTGTTGCTTTTGTTATTATTGTTATAATTGTTATTGTTCATATGCTTATTATTGTTATTATTTTTACTATTTTTAGTATTTTAACTATTGTTGTTAATATTGTTATTGTTGTTATTATTATTGTTACTTTTGTGTAGTATTATTGTTACAATTGTCATTGTTATTATTAATAGTGTTACATTTGTGATTATTGTTACAATTATTATTTTTATTGTTACTTTTGTTAGTATTATTGGTAAAATTGTTATTATTATTGTTGTTGTTGTTATTATAATTGTTATTGGTATTATTGTTATTAAATATTTTCATTATTATTATTAGTCATCTTTTGTATTTGTTTTTTGTTTTCTTTCTTTCTTTCTTTTTTTCTTTTTTTTTTTTTTTTTTTTTTTTTTTTTTTTTTTTTTTTTTTTTGATAAGTGGTTATAATCTAATAAAATGATAGTGCAATAAAAAAAGAACAATTTGATGATTAAGACTTGAACATTTATTGACATGTATGAAGGTATGTTAAAGGTTAAAAAAAAACATGAAGAGTTGATGTTTAACATTGTGAATAATTTATTAATATGGGCGTTAGTTCTTATCGCATATAGTGGATATATACATACAATGTTGTTGGTGCGTGTGTAAACTGAAGTATCGATCTTTTTCAACTTACGAGGATATGCGGCGCCTGCAATAATGCATCTTATCATATATATATATATATGGGTGTAGTCAATATTGATCAAAGGAATATGAAAATGAAAAAAATATGTTTGAAAATTCTTGAAATTGTAGATTTAAAGTATTTAAACAATTATCAAGATTTGAGAATTATTTTTTTCTTCTTCTAAACTGTCACTTTAAAATAAATTTGTGTCTGACCAAAAAGAACTTTTTCTACTTAAAAGTGAATTGTCGTTATACCAAAATGTCTTTTCTACTTGAAAATAAATTTTTTCTGTAGAAAAATATATTTTTACTTTCTAAAACAAATATTATTAACTTTCTGCTTTAATTTTTATGAAAATTGTTTTTAAAATCATATATATTATTATCAACTTTTAATTATATTTATCATAAGTGATATAAAAAAAAAAAAAACAGTGAAAAAAAATTTGTAAAAATAGATTAACAGGTCAAATTTATCTTTAGAAATATCGGATAATGGCTAAATCCTATTATATAATGCATTGAGAGTATTTTTTTACGTGCCCTCTTTTCTTTTTATGTTGCAGTCGGCGCGTTGAAGCTACTTGAGATAAAAGTCCCAACATACACTGTGAAGGGACGAAGTGCGCTTCTACATTGCAGGTAAGGGCACTTATTTCACATTCAAGATAGTCAAAGAAAAGACACAGTGAGTGAGTGCAAGTGAGAGAGAGAGAGAGAGAGAGAGAGAATGATGTAGAATATGACCCGATTACATATATATATATTCCTAATCTAAAGAATTTAAAATAAAAAATGTTTCTCTTTTTTTTCTCTCTCAAACAATTTCTGTTACATAAAATCGAACGATGAGCAAAAAAGATTTCTTTATATTTTATGTCTTCAGCTATACATGATATTTGCAATCTTCAACTATTTTATGAATATTCTATATACTGAACCATATCCATATTATGGATATATATCGAAAAAACGATATTCTAAATTTAAGAATATAATCTTTCCCACCTATTTAAGAATATAATGAAAAATTTATCGCTTAACTCTTTGTGTCTTGTAAATTTGTAAATTAATTAATTAACTTCTTTGTTGAAAATTTAAATATAAATTAAAAATTTATAAATGTTAATTATTTTAACTTTTATAATAATTTAAAAATAATATTCCCTTTACGAATATGTACAGTCATGTGACCTAATTTTTCATTTAATACATTCGTTTAATCTTAATGTAAAATTTATTTTATTTCTAATCTTATAAATTTTTTTTTTTTAATTACACTCTGAATTAGTAAAAATTTTAACCAATTTCAATTAGTGACCTTTGGAATTAGTAAAATTTAACTAATTAATAGTGGAAAATTTTTTTACTATCCAATTAGTAAATTTTAACTAATTAAAAAGCAAAACATAACTAATTCAAATTAGTTTAAAATTTCTACTAATTACTAATTTTACGATTTGTAGCTTGTAATAACTTTTTAAATAAATAATTAATTTAAATTAAGAGAGTATACTGACGTGGAATTTTATTTGAGATATAAGTGAATTTAAAAAATTATTAACTTATTAAGTACTAAATTAAAATAATTTATTTAATAATTTAATAATTTGTCAAATTAAGTTAATTTTATCTTATTATAATATGAATGTATAATGAAATTATTGAAAATTTAAATAAATTGGATTTTACTCGATGTATTGTTAATTAAATAAATATATATATATGTGTGCAATAAATAAATGAACCAAATAGTGTTGACAATCGATTTTTGTGTGTTGAATTTAGTTAGTGAATGTACACTTTTACGTAATGCAACCTCAACTAAATTCCTTTTCCAATACTCATCGATTTTACAAGCCATTCCACCTCTGCCACTAATTTATCGACAATTTGTAAGCTCTAAAGTTAACGGTCATACACATACACCAATTCTCGTGCTCCCCCCTCCGTCCCACCTTCACCCCTTGTCTCTGGACTTTTTTTTCTCCCCCCTCCCCCTCTTGTTCAATTAATTATTCCCTCTCTTCTCATCCTCTTCATTCTCTCTCTCTCTCGCTTTCTCTTTCCCTATTTTCCATTCCTCTGTTCTTTTCATTCAAGTTTGTAGTTTCCTTCTTCCTTTATCAACGTGGGATTAAAGATAAAGCTTTTCCAACACAGACACAAAAGAATCGTATTCCAAAATGAAATTGAGATTCATTTTAAAAATGAATATACATATATATACTATTTGCAAGTATCATCAATAAATTTTCACATTTGTCGTGCTAAATAAAGAATAAAATTTAAAATAAGAAATTAAATTTTTTATTAAATTTTACTTTAAATTAATGAAAATTTTACTTTGACTAAAAAAAAAACTTTTTTTTGAAACATTTTTTTGAGTCTATATTATACTAAATAAAATACAATATTATTTTACTAATTTACTGTTATGTAGTTTGTGCTCAATTTCAAGAGGCGAAGAAAAATTTTTTTTCTAATAATACAAGGCGAGGTATATATATATATGTATTTCTTTTTTTAATATCAAGAAGTTGGTGATGGGTGATTAATATGCGTACACAAACTTCGAGACTCCATAAGTCTTCTTGCAAGGACTCGTAGCTCTCTTGAGGCGAACCGTGAAATCGCTTTCACCTTTCCATTCTCACTTTTCCGTTCTTTCCCCTATTCCACTTTGAAAAACTTAAATTGCCCGCAGTAACTGTAATGACTCACAAGTTGTCCTAATTATAATTATGAAAAAGCTCATATTAAAAAAAAAGAAAATAATAAATGATCAAATTAATCCAAATCTCTACATTAATATAATTTTCTCCTTTTTTCAAAAAAAAAAAATATATATATAATAATTTAATAATAAAAAATTATTAATTTTAAAAATAAATATATTCATTCGTATAAAAATACTCTTAAATATATTATATATAATAACGCTTAAATTAAATTGATATTAATAATTCTTTTTTTTTTTTTGCTGAAAAATATTATATTACAACTAAAATGTTGTGATTCTAAATTCTAGAGACATTTTCATATAACATCGCAAAGGCGGGTCGAGTAAACCTGCTTTAAAAAATAGAAAACATTTACATACAGAATGACAAGTTGTCGTTGCTTACAAACTCTAAACATGTACACATATATATATATATATATATATATATATATATATATATATATATATATATATACGACAAGAGGATACGAGTCCCGAGAGCGCACTGAGTATACAAAAGCAAAAAAACAACCTCTTGTCCAAATTTACCATAAAAAAGTACCTTGTAAAATGTATTACGAATTTTCTTCCTATTCTACCGTGTGTGTAATAGTGACATGTTATGACAGCGCCTACCTATATACTATTTTTCCAACAAAATTTTTTTTTTTTTACATCTATAGTATTTATATACAGTGTCATTTAAATCAAACTTTTTTTTACGAATATTACCAAAAAAAAAAAAAAATTTGCTAAATATTAGAAAAAAAAAGAATAGAATAATTTATCAATTAATAATAATAATAATAACAAATTTTAATTATGACAATAATTTATCGACTTCAAAATACACTCAGAAAAAAATTCGTTTGAAGCAACCAAATTTTCGTTAAATCAACAAAATAAATGCACTGAAATACAGTTAACCAAACATTTGGTTGCATAAACCAAACGTTTATTTAGCTCAATCAAATTTTTTCTTTGTTTCAAAAAAATTTATTAAAATAAACCAAACAGTTATTTAGATCAAATAAATATTTATTTGAATTAAACAAATTTTGTTTGAACTAACCAAAAAATTGGATAAATATAAAAAAAATGGTACATTTGGTTTAAACATATCTTTTTTCTGAGTGTAAGCATAGGCTGACCAAAAATTAGTTATTCTACTTTAACTTTAGTTGTCTTGGAAAAAAATTCTTTTTTTTTTTTTTGCTTAAAAATAAATGTAGGCTGACCAAGAATTATTTTTTCTACTTAAAAAGTCGTTTTTTTGAAACAGTTTTATCAATAAAGAATTATAAATTCTGTCTAATGAAAATTAAAATATTTTCTTCGTGAAAAAAAAAATTTTTGGTCTTATTAAACAAAATTATTGTCAATAAATCAGTTATGTCTGACAAAATAGTATTTTTTCTACTTAAAAATTCATGTCATTACAAGAGCTTTATTTATTAAAAAATTTCTGTCTGAAAAAAATAAAATTATACTTAAAAAAAAAAAGAAAACTTTTTTTGTTTTACGAGACAAAAAGTTGCTTTATAAATAACTTTTGTCTGACCAAACAACAATTACTCTACTTAAAAAATAAATAAAACAAATATTTTCTTATCAAAACAATTATGCTTACTAAAATTAAAATTTTGGCTAAAAAAGAATTTGTCTAACCAAAAAATATTTATTAAAAATTAACAACTTTTCTATAATTTCATAATTATATTATTTTTTTTTATTATTTATTATTTTATTTACATTTCGAGTCGAAATTTTTCCCTCTTTTCACCCTCGATTTTCTCAGCCTCTTTTCAGCTTGAAATCATGCGCTTATTTCCAAATCTGAATGTTTAGAGGTTGAAAAGAGGTCTTGGAATTTTTTCTTAATTTGAATTTTTCGAAGTTTTATTCCTCCTAAAAGTTTTATAGTATTACGACAAAGACCAATAAATATATCTTCAATAGGGTCAATAAATAATGTCCATAAGAAAAAAAATTCAATTTTTACATTTTTTTAATTTTATTTTTTCGTTTTTTTTAACCTCTTTTACGCCTCTCTAGTCATCTTTAAACCCTCCTTTCAGCCTTCAATATAGCAGATATTTCCACTTTTACAAATTCGAGGTCGAAAAGAGGATATGAAAGTGTTAGAGAGAATAAAAGGAGGATGAAAGGAGGTTTTTAGAGAACTTATAGAGAGTCTAAATTTGACTCGGGATAATTATGAAAGTGTAATAAAAAAATTTCGCAAATTTAAAAAATATGCTTTTTAAGCATCTAATAAAATTAATTTGTAGATAAATCAAGAAAACTAAATTTTAAAATCATTTTTTTTCTTGAAGGAAAATTTATCTAATATATTCTTTTTTCAAATTATAACAATCAAGATGAAATTACAAAGCAAACAATTTAATTTAGTATATATATATATATATATATTTGTAGTTGAGTATAAATTTCACCATTCTACAAGTAATGAATTCAATCCAGTGTTTAATTGCAATGAGTATACCTATTCTGTGTGTTAGTATCAGTATATGTGTGTATGTTTGTATGTATATATATATGCTACCAAATATCTAGCATAACGAAGTATCCACTGACGCGTGATGCTTTCCTCGAGTAAGACGGCATTCCAAGCGTTAATTGGTCGAATCTCGAGGATCGCAGGTAATTAGATTTTCAAGGCATTAGAGCGAGCACAGACAATACATTTCTGATTTTCAAGCTATACACGAACAGTTAGTAGACGTTAAATCTAAAATAAGATCTTAAATGTCATCAACATTTTCTTCCACACATATAAATATATATATATATATATATATCCCTTTGGAGATAAATTTTCCTTTTTTCTATTTCTTTGAATTTGTACAATAAATTAAAAAATAAAAAAAAAACCAAGCAATTGGAGTAATAATTA